TTGATTTAGATAATCATCATCCTTATATTCTTAACAAATGGTGTTTAAAATAATAAAAATAAATCTATCAACACAAATACAGAAAGTAATCGTTTTTCCCTCTAGTGACGTCATGACTATCTGGGCCATACGAGGAGAGGTCAAGCGGAGTTTTTCCCAGTTTTCTCCCTCACATGGAGATTTCTCAATCTCCTAATGTAATCTGGAGAAGTGCAACATTTCTCCAGGAATTTCTCTCGCATATTTCATGATATATTCTGTCTCCCAGGCTCTCACCTCTCACCTCACTTACCTCTCACCTCACTTACCTCTCACCTCACTTACCTCTCACTTCACTTACCTACAATTTTACCTACCTCTCACCTCATCTACCTCTCACCTCATCTACCTCTCACCTCATCTACCTCTCACCTCATCTACCTCTCACCTCACTTACCTCTCACCTCACTTACCTCTCACCTCACTTACCTCTCACTTCACTTACCTACAATTTTACCTACCTCTCACCTCATCTACCTCTCACCTCATCTACCTCTCACCTCATCTACCTCTCACCTCATCTACCTCTCACCTTACCTACCTCTCACCTGTCATGTGTTGCTCACTTAACTGAAATACACAAAGTAAACACATGTAGTAAACAAGACTTGAAGTAAACAAGACAAGCAAGACACATGTAGTAAACAAGACAAACAAGACACATGTAATTGACAAGACCCGTGTGCATGTGTCATTAAACCCCTCTAAAGGTCATCATCCGTTACGCTGTTGACCCTACCAGGAGCGAGAGGTCACGTTCGTATAATCCGCCAGTAAGGTCAAGTGGGAGACGTCGGGCGGTGTAGGAGTGGAGGGAGAGGAGGAGGGAGAGGGGAAAGGAATAAGGAGGGGGAGAGACTGAAGGGGGAAAGGGAAATGTAGGGAGAGACGAGAGAGGGGTAGCAGGGGGGTGGCGGAGAGTAGAAAGGAATAGGGAGAGACGAGAGGGAAAAGGGTGGTTGGAGACGAGGGAGGAGACTGAGGAACAGGAAAGAGCAGGGGGGAGATGGAAGAGGGGAAGGGAGGAGGGAAGAGAAGTGACAGGGAAACGAAGGAGGAGGGAAGGAAAAGGGAGAGGAGAGAGAGAACGAGGAAGAGAGGAGAGAATAAAAGAGAGGGGAGAAAGGGGAAAGGAGAATGGAGAGAGAGAGAGAGAAAGAAAGAGAGAGAGAGCAATAAGAAAGAAAGGGAAGATCTCTAATATCATGCTTAACCTAACCTAACCTGACCTTTATCAGGAACGGTGTTTTATTGACTCGTTTCAAAGGGGTAATTCATGTTTGTTTTGTTCAAGCAGATATCTAATTCATTCCATATATATATATATATATATATATATATATATATATATATATATATATATATATATATATATATATATATATATATATATATTTATTTTGTTCATTATTATTTTGTGTTATGTAATGTGTATTAGAAAGGTTTATTGAGGTGTGTGTGTGTGTGTGTGTGTGTGTGTGTGTGTGTGTGTGTGACGTCCCTTCTATGTTCTAAAATGTCATCACCAAGTCGGGAAAGTCCACAGAAAGTCAGTGACTCAAGATATAAACTTGAGGAGGGTGTGTGTGATACCACCAGCCATCAGCTGTTATGTGTATTGTGTTGACAAGTTCCACAGCTGATTAAAACTTTCCTCTGATGATCTACAACAAAGTTTCTTGCAATAAACTTTTCTCAAATTGTCTCTTGAGCTGCCGAGTAAATATAAATATATATAAATAACGTACTTGCCATCTTCAATGATGTCGCTGAAAAAAATAACCCCCGGGGAAAGAGGATCACGTCTGCAGTTTCAATAGAAGCAAGGAGGAGGAGGAGGAGGAGGATGAGGTAGGGAGAGGGATTGTGGCACCGTCCAGAATATTTAAATATTGTCGTGAGAAGGTGAGAGTGTGGCTGTGATGCTACACCCACCCAACACCTCCCACGTCCTTTAGAAAGAGAACTCCCCAAAAATATTACTTTCATTAGTTTCATTACAAGTCACATATGAACCATCCTCAGGTCAAACACACATTAGATAATCACCAATAAACTAGAATCACATACTGAAAAAAAATAAATACCGACTTGACAATAAGATGGTAATGAGGATGAGAAATTTCCATATTTGATCCCCGGGAACATATGCAGAGAGGCTATCATAACCAAGCACATGTGGGCGCCTCCACCCATCACCCCCTCTGTGTGTGTCTTATATTACTGGAGCTGCTGTGAGGGGAGAGAGGGAGGAGGGGAGAGACGGAGGTGAGGGGAGAGACGAGGTGAGGGGAGAGACGGAGGTGAGGGGAGGGAGGGGAGAGGGAGGAGGGTGTGGAGGGAGGAGGAGGTGAAAGAGAGACGGAGGTGAGGGAGGAGGGAGGAAAGAGAGGAGGAGGGAGGGAGGGGTGGAGGGAGGGATGGAGGTGAAAGAGAGACGGAGGTGAGGGAGGAGGAGGGAGTGGAAGTGCACAAACATTATTGTACTCCACTCAACCCCCCCCACCTCACAGCGCCAACACACCTACAGCACTAACACACTCACATCACTTAACACACTCTAACACTACCACACTTACCCCTTACAGCACTTAACAGACTACCACACTCACCTCTCACACTTAAAATACTTCACACTACAACACTTGCCCTTCACACTTCAAATCACTTAATATACATGAGACTACAACACAACAAAACTCACTCTTCACATTTCTCAATCTACAACACATTACAACACACATATTATATCACAACACCCAGTTTTTCTATATATCACTGCAATACGTCAATCTACGCCATATATGACAAAAATATAATTACTTCACAATTTACTAATGCTACACGATATACTGACATACTTGCTGGTGTGTTGTAATATAATATGGCCTAGGGAGGAAGGGTAATTTTATTGATACAAACTATACTCTTTATAAAATATTCTCAATATTTACATGTCAACGTTTATGAAACCAGAAAGTGGAATTTAATATTTTTGTTTACAACTCGTAATATTTCAACTATTTTTTAACTCGAGCAAAATGTAAAAATTTAATTAAAAACTAAAAAAAAATAAATGTTCCATGAATAATCTGATTTGTATAGCGATGAGAAGATTAATTTCACCGTGACTGCCTATGTGGGTTCCAATAATTTCCTCTATAGGTAATAATATTATGTCCCCCAGGATAATAAGGGAACTTAATCATCCTAGTCTACCCACATATTTAATATACTCTACCACTAAGGTTAAAGAAGACCCAACGGGGAGTAGTAGTAAGCCGCCGTTCCAGAAATCAGATTGTGTAACTATAATCTCGTGAAAAAATATGTCATTTTTTCCTTCGTTGAAAATAGTTGTGTATTTTTGTTTTACTAGTACTGATAATAATAAAAATAATAATAATAATAACGATAATAATAAGAAGAAGAAGGAGAAGAAGAAGAAGAAGAAGAAGAAATAAATAAATAAATAAATAAATAAATAAATACAGAAAGAAAGAAATAAAAACAAAAGAAAAACAAAACCAAACTCACAATAAAAACTAAATAAAAAAATAACTGATAAACACCACGACTCCAACATAAAAAGTAGAATCAGTCAAAACACATCATTAAAAACATATGAAGAGCTGTAGATAATATGCGTTCTATGTGCACGACCCAGATATAAACATGAGCACATATTTGCCAAGTAAACACAGTCATCCAGCCGAACCATGGTCAAGTGTAGCGGTGGTGGAGGAGGTGGGTGTAGGTGTATAGGGGTGTGTAGCGGTGGTGGAGGAGGTGGGTGTACTGTAGGTGTATAGGGGTGTGGAGAGAGGAGGTGAGACTGGCTATATTTTGTGGTTGGGTTGGGTCGAATGGTGTGGGAGAAGGAGGGAGAAGGGAGGAAGAGAAGGAGAATAATGGGAGGAGGAGCAAAAGGAGGAAAAGCAGGAGGAATTTGAGGAAGAGAAACTGTAGAAAATACACAACAGCAACAATAAACGATAATGAGGTAAAACAAACAAGCAAAAACATCATTAATAGCCAATTATATCGCTTCTCTTCCTCCTTATATATTGTCTACTGACTTTTTATCCTCTTCCTCCTCCTCTTTACCTTCCTCTTCCTCCTCCTCTTTACCACCCTCTTCCTCCTCTTTACCCTCGTCGTCTGGGGAGCCTTGTAGTATACGGAGGTTATTACCGTTTGTGTGTGTATTTTTAAGTATCATTTTGTATGTATGTATATAGTTATGTATGTATGTATGGATGTATGTATGTATGTATGTATGTAAATATGTATGTATGTATGTTTGTATGTATGTATGTATGTATGTATGTATGTATGTATGCATGTAAATATGTATGTATGTATGTATGTATGTATGTCTGTCTGTCTGTCTGTCTGTATGTATGTATGTATGTATGTATGTATGTATGTATGTATGTAGGGTCAGAGAGATCAAAGCCAAGGTCACAGCTAAACAAAGACTAATAACGTGAGTTGGCATTTCACTCGAGTGCATCCGTTCCCTTCATTGCTTCGCTCTCTAACTCCTCGTCTTCTTTTTCCTCCTCCTTCTCCTCTTTCGCCTTCTCTTCCGTTTCCTTCCTCCTTAATGTAACCAAGGAAGGAGCCCATGCATTATTTTCTTTCTTCATTTACTTCTTTCTTTCCTTCCTTCATCCTCTCTTCCTCCCCACCCCTTGTCTTCCTCCTCCTCCTCCTCCTCCCCCTCACCCTGTCTTCCTCCTCCTTACCCGTCTTGCTCCTCCTCACCTCTGTCTTCCTCACCTTCTCCTCCTCTTCACCCCTCACCTGCTTCACCTGACCGATTAAATACTGTACTCGCTACGTCCAAACCCAGATAGTCAGGTGTATGAGGAGAGGAACACACACACACACACACACACACACACAACTAGGAGTATGAGGAGAGTAATCAACAAGTATTGTGTGGTTTGTTACAGCGTGCAACATCCTGGTGGACGACGTCTCAGGCGTGTACACCTTGAGGAACCACGGCCAACGCACCAACTGCTCCATAACCACCATCTTCCCCGCCACCGTCACCATCGTGCAACTGGCTGTGGGCGTCAACGGAGCCGCTGTACCTAACAGGGCTGTAGAGACTGGCGTTCTTAGCAGGGTGAGTACCAGAGAGAGAGAGAGAGAGAGGCGCACCAACCACTGGTTCACAAATAGGGTGGTAGATGAGTGGAACAAGCTTAGCAGCTTTGTAGTAAGTGCTGGGACTCTGGAAAGCTTTAAAAGGAGACGATATAGATTCATGGACGATAGAGAGTGGTTGTAACTCTCAACAGGAGCTGCCAATGCACGGGCCAACCAGCCTATTGAAGACTCATTTTCTTATGTTCACCCTCTCCCCCTACACTAACACCCTCCCTCAGACCAGATTCTCCTCCCCGACAGTGTGAGAAGCGAGGCTCCCGTGACTATGTGCAGATAGGCGGGGGACAAGGGCTGGACGTGACCAAGCTGGAGGTGGAGGATTCTGTGTGTGGCATGGACTCCAACCCCCGTGAGTACATTAATATTACACCTTGTACCGATTACCTAGTACATTTCACCTCTTGTGTTTACCTATCTAACTAATTACTTTACCTGCCTACTCTAACTACCACATTGTATCATCCCTTCCAACACACTACCACCCCTAACCACACACTACCACCCCTACCCACACACTACCACCCCTACCCACACACCACCACCCCTACCCACACACCACCCCTACCAACACACACACCACCCCACCCACCCACACACTACCACCCCTACCCACACACTATACCTCCCCTACCCACACTCACTCTCAATTCCCCAAACTCAATTCTACGACGATCTTTCATAAATACAATATATTAGTTTTTCAATATAATATTTACCTAAAATTAGTACAATATCAACACACACACACACACACACACACACACACACACACACACACACACACACACACACACAGTAATATACCACATTAGTGCACAAAGGCCTGTTAACTAAAATAACACACAACACTCCTGCATGAAAGACACAGACACAGACACGTCACACACACACACACAACGTCTACATCTGTTTGTGGCTACACTTTACAGACAAGTCAATGATCAAAACCAGTTAATTAGTCTCGTGTAACACTCTCTTAAAAATTATCAGCAGGAGAGAGAGAGAGAGAGAGAGAGAGAGAGAGAGAGAGAGAGAGAGAGAGAGAGTTTAAGAACGTAATACACTGAGAGTAAAATGTTTATTTAATGACTGTGATGGCGAAGACTGTGTACTCTCTCTTCTGTCTTTCAAGAAAAATCGGACTCGTAAACCAAGCTGGACTTCCATACAATACACTAACGAGTATACTGATTACTCTTTGAATACATACTAACCCTATATGTATTCCTATGTACTACACACACACACACACACACACACACACACACACACACACACCAACTGTACTGTAATACCTTAACGTGCAGGTGAGAGCTGTAGGCCACCTGGTACAAACACTCTAATGAAAGTATTAGGGGAAGACGAGAAGTAGACAGAGTTAATAGGTAACACAGACCTCGCCTTTCCCTGTCTAATCTATCTTGTTGACTCAGGTGGGAAGACACACACCTGTTCCCACGACCCCCCAGCCACCTGTTGATTCATACCCGAGTGAGAGATATAGAGAGGCGGGTCACAGGTGTGTATTGTCAGGACTCTCACCTAACCTAACCTAACCTAACATAACCAGGATGTGAGGTGTATATAAGGTGACGCCCCAAGATCTAGTGTAAGATTATACCCCCTGCAACTAGATATTACAAATGAGCAAGTGTGGTTTATTTTGAGCTGTCAGAAGCAGTAATGAGGTAACAGGTATAAGAGTCGGATCCACGGATGGTGAGGCTCCCGTGTTCCCATTATCAACAAACACTGTCATCACTGTTCCTCGTCAGTGCTCACAGTGTTCCAGGCAGTGAGTGACACATCCACGGAACACTGAAGTTCAAAAACTCATGAGTAAGGTATAGCTAATTGCTACTTAATAAGGTGTATGGTTCACTTCCTCACTTCACATCACTCTCTGGGAAATAAAAGGTTATGTGAACAGTTTAGAGGAGAAGGCGGGTTTTTTTTTCAACTGTTCTGAGAGTACAAGCATTACCAAACATAATATTTATGTTTCCCCTTAAATCATTTTCTATAACATTAGACACACGCCATTTTTCTATATAAGATAGGGGTAACTATATCAATATTATAAATTTTCCTATGTGTTTTTATTTCTTATCATGAAGGGGGTCTCGTTCTATAGGTTTTTGCACGGCACCAACTTAAAATATCTCTAAATTATGTAATATCTAACGGAATAGTGACCAGCGTACACCAACATCATCCACGCGACACTCAAAGCTTACCCACATAAACTCCTATACTACTACCACCACAGGTAACAGAGACCATATTTACTAAATACTTTTCCTCATATAGAATCCAAATAACAGGTGACATATCTAACTTCCCATAAACTATCAACCACTGTGACATTCGATTAAATAGAATCCCAAAATTATCTCTAAAATTACTTATATCGATTTAGGCGGTGCTGTCACAAATAATTAATTGTCTTCACCGTACAGGAACACCCTCACTCCCTGTCTGTACCTGTCCTAACACACTGGGGATCTTACCCTCCTGTTCCGTCAGTCACTGTTGGTTGGCTTGTCACCTTACCTGACACTCCTCCTCCTGCTGCTGCCTCACATAACCCACCACGTACAGCCTAATGCTTATCCTCCTCTAACATCTCCCCAACACCCATTCTACCACCTACGTCTCCCCACACTTAGGCACGTCTTCGCATATGTATCTTCCCTCTCTTTCTCTTACTTTCCTTACCTTCCTCCCTCTATTTCTCTCTTACCTTCCTTCCCCTCTCTTCCTCTTACCTTCCCCCTATCTCCTACTCGTTTCTCCCCCCCCTCTCTCTCTCTCTTGCTTTTTATTTCCCCCTTCTCTTTCTTCCCCTCCCCCTCTTACCTTCTCGTTCTCTTTCCTTCCTTCTCCCCTTCTTTCTTTCCCTCTCCCTCTTACCTCCCCTCGTCTATTCGTCCTCCAACATCATATATTGATGCCCACGACTTTACTGGCTTGTGGAGGGGCGAGGACACACACACACAAGCCTCAACTTCGACCATAAAGGGATGATGTTCTGTTATTAGTAGACTCTCTTCTCTGTATGTGTGTGTGTCTGTGTCTCTCCTATATTTTGTTTGACCTTCTCGAGTTATGTTGTCCAGATATAAAGAAAGTATTTGACCTAAGCTATCGGGATTGTAATGTTTCTGAGAAGTTTCGTCTTATGAATTACTTAATGAAGCCTGGTAAGAATATATTAAATGACGTGTTGTGTATTGGCGTTTTATCTACTATCAGGAAGCTTTTTTTTATTCTCAGTAAAATATTAAATCTCACGGACTTAATCCACGTAAACACCTCCTCCTCTTTATCCCTATTCCATTGATCATCCTCATCATGACAAATAATAATATCTAACTCCACAACTATCTCTCGACTCCCTGATACCCGAGTCTTGACAAAGTTGAAAATCTAACAAGTATTTCTCGTGTTCTGAAGACAGGTGGCAGAGTTGATCACTGTTCTTCACTACCTTTGGAAATTGTCAATCTACCACAACATCTCCACAGTACCTGTAAACTTTACCCTTGTTCTTTGTCACTTTCAACACTCACAGTCGTATATCAGTTATGTCTAAAGTCTTGGGAACTATCATGAACTGACAACTTCTCCTCTCTCCCCTCCTAGGATACATAGGGTAAGATACATAAAGCAAGATACATAACATAATCTCAGATACATAGTTTGTTATATATCTAGAGTGTTTCACTGTAGACCGTCTCTCCCTCACCCTTCACAACTTTCCTTTTGAAGACAACTTTGATAAATTACTTTTCGAAACTTACAATAAATATGATAAAAGTTTATGATAAAGTTTTTTTTATTACTTCCAATTATAAGTTCATCCTCAAAATATTCAACACCTTTCAATATAACTCTGACCTTACTATAGACCTTCACCGTCTCGCCTCTCACTTCATATCATTCAAGAACTTCACGACCTCTTCTGGCCTATGACCCACACGTCACCCGGAACTTGTATTATACGAGTATATCCCTTGTTGTTGTTACCTGTTTCATATTAACTTTATTTTCATATTTTATTTTTGTCATTCAGGCTGTTGTTTTTTTTCACTCACTCTTAAAAAAAAATATTCCTAACATAAGTGATAGTCGAGCATCTGTGACGTATACACCCACAGGCGTCAATTACCTTCACGTTGATGGTAGTTAGTTAATTAGTCATCTCAGTTGGTCCAACACACAAACACTGATGATAAGCTCACCACTAACTTTACATCTCGTCGATAAACTCTATTTCCTGGTGGAATATTTTTAGCACTGGATCATGTATACTGGTTGAGAGGCGCTGACTACATAGCTAAGCGAAGAAATATTTTATAACTAAAGGCTACTGTCAAATAAATATGGATTACGGTGGCTGAGTAGACACAGCATTCGCCTCTAGTCCAAAGATTCCCTTGTTCGAGCCTGGGGTAAAAGTAGTCCAATGAATGAGTACCAGAGTCTGCAGCTGGGGAGGTGAAAGCGTTTAGGTGTATTGCTAGCTGCACCTCCCCCCGCCTCACGAAACTGTCCTGAGGGGTTTGATAATAATGGAGGCCAGGGCTGAGGGTTATATGGTGTGGAGGTTGAAGATATGGGTAAGAGGCTACACCATCACAAGGGAGATGAGTAAGGCGGCGTCTCACACGGGGAGGGATGTGTCGCTATTGAGTTGTGATCGACCTAGTTAATTATTCATTCTAGACAGGATGAGAGACTACTACCTTCTCTACCCCCTCCCCCTTCTCTACCCCCTCCCCCTTCCTCCCTCCTCCCACTAGTCACACAGAACTACGTCCAACTTCAATACTAAACCGTGTTCCTTCTGTGTCTTCTACAAAATATAACACTAAAATAATGTCTATTGTCAGAGCTACAAATATTAGATTATCTCGGACGTTCATCAGGTGTTATATCTTGTGTGTGTGTGTGTGTGTGTGTGTGTGTGTGTGTGTGTGTGTGTGTGTGTGTGTGTGTGTGTGTGTGTGTAATAATAATAATACTAAATGGTTTATTAATAGAGTTGCAGCCGGTGGTTGAAAATATACAAACTTACATGTGATTTAGACATAATAATATACGTTCAATACATTTACAGGGCTGTACAGTACATAAATCAGGAGTTGTTTATTATTTTAACAATATATGGGATGGTGCTGTTTTTATATCTATCAGTGTGGGCTCTTATGGGCTGAATTTTGTTGTAGTGGCGGACTGCACGAGGTGCGCAGGGGACTGCCGGTGGCAGCAGGTGGCGATGACGAGGTTGGTGCAGTAGTCCACTGTCAAACCTTACTAGTGCGTGGTGGTGGAGGTCACTGAAGGATGCGTGGTGTTGGAGGTCACTGAGGGATGCGTGGTGGTGGAGGTCACTGATGGATGTCATTTCTAAGGTGGAGAGAGCGTTGTTGTAGCCGGAGTGTCTGCTCCGAGCATGATTCTGCAGGCCCTCTTCTGTACCTTCTCTAGCTGACGTTGTTGGGTAGAGTTGAGAGAAGACGACTAGGCTGGTGACGCATACGTTAATTTTGAGAATATAAATGCGTTGTAGATAGTCCTCAGCTCTGGCGTGGGTGCCCCAAGTGATCTGAGTCGTCGTAGCATGTAGAGTCGGTACGAGGCTGCCTTGTTTGTGTGTGTGTGTGTGACAGGATAAAATATCGTTGGAATAAATAATACTTAATAACATTCATTAACACAGAGGAAGTTTGGTCTTAAGAGAATAACCTAACAATGGTAGTCATCCCTCCTCGCAGGTGACCCCAGTAACACACCTTCCTTCACCTGCACATTATTCCGTCCATAACAGAAGTCGGAGGCGGCTGAGTGGAAGTGACTTATGACACACACTCTCACTTTCTCCCAGGTGATGAGGGGCATTACTCTTGTCTCTCTCTCAGCCTCTCACTCACACCTCCACCGTCATCTAAAACCTAACCTAACCCACATCTTCTCTCATATACAATACGTTCGCGTTTTCTCTCTCTCACTCCATAACTCTAGCGTCTTTCACTAAGGTCGTTCACTTCTCTTGGTATATCTAATTCATAAAAAAAAATAAACATCTAAGTTATATAAATCCCAACACCAAAATTTATCCCAGTCAATACCAAAACACATCAGAAAACGTAAATAATAATCCAAAACTTTTAACCACAGATAACAAAAGACAATCGAGACGCAAAGTAAACAAATGACTTAGAAAAAAATAAATAAAAGAAAGATTAATATTGAAAAACACAGACTACTACCTCCACCATTACTTAATTTACTTCTCCGTGTATAGGGGTGAAGCTTTCCAAGTCCCGTGTTGTGATTGTCAATTAAGAGGCTTCAGCTCTCCGGGGTAGTGTGTGTTGTGGAGGTCGTACTGGTCCTATTGCTAACATGTACAGTACAACAAACTACACTGTTAGTATATCCAGTGTGTGTGACATTTTTAACTGGAGTTTATGTACGCACACACACGAACACACATATACAAAGACACACACTGCACACACACACATATACAAGGACATACACTGTACACACACATATACGGAACCACTACAAACACATATACATACACGGACACACTGTACATACACATACACGCACATAGAAATACACACACACACGTACACGTATAATCGTACGTACACTCGCACACACCTGAAGCTATGATATGTTATTGATAATTTGTACAGTGAAGTTGATAAAAATGATGATTCAGTGAAGATAATGATGATAATGACGGTGATAAATAAAGAACATATAAATTAACATAGATGATTCTTCTTTAAATGTAAAAAACCGACAATAAACCAGACAGGAATCTTCAGGTGATCCGTAACACTTTAACAAACTCCAACCTTTTCCCATCACAACAATATCAAATCATTCTACAACAGGAAAGATTCATATACATGGAATTCGAACCTCTATTCCTCTTAAAAATAGTTCAAATTGTTTCAAAATCTATTCCATTCGACTCGGAATCCATTCACAGCCTATAAGACAGGTGAAACGACAAACAATCTCTTGAGGAATTCCAATTACGCCTTCACCTGTCTTGGGAATTTGTGGAAGACTCTCAGTGTAGAGCCTTAAGGTGAATTGTGTTAAGAGGCAAAGTGAGTTGGTGGTGAGGAGGGGCAGATGGATGGATAGAATTTGTTATATAGGGATGATGGAGTGTGTGTGTGTCTAGGGCCTGTACTTCTTCGTGTCCTTGTTGCTTGTAGATGTTGAGGAAGTCGGAGGAAGGTGATCGTGATGAGGTGTTCTGCCCCTGGGGTCTCGTGGTGTTCTTGTCTCTTGGTAACCTGTGTTTTTCTTGTTTTTTCTTCTCTTGTGTTTTTGTTTCTTGTTTTTTCTTAACTTCGGTGCGAACTACAAGGAGAGCCTCCTTGTAGCTAAGTTTCTTGTTTTGGCGAACCTTGGTTAACCTGCTTTCCTCCTTCCACTTGGGGCAGGTCCGGTCGGCAGAGGAGTGTGGGCCGCCGCAGGCAGCGCACTTTTCCTCGGTGTTGGGACAGGAGGTGTACCGGTGCCCGGAGGTACCACACAGGGAGCATACATCCTCCTGCGCCTTGCACTTGTTGACGGTGTGTCCGTAGTTCTGGCATTTGAAGCAACGCTTGGGTCGGCAGTAGGGCGTGACTTGGACGGTTTCCCAGGCCAGTTGGACTTCCTGGGGCAGAGTTTCATGGTGTCCGACCAGAGCCATCGTTTCGGACAGCTTCTTGACACAGTGGGGCTGATCCAGGAGTAGTTTGTCAATCTCGTCTCAGTTCAGGTGTTCAATTTTGGCTTGAAGAGCAGTGCTGGGCATCCACTAAACAGCCACATGCCACTAAAACTGTACCATTCTAAATGAGTCACTACAGCGCCACGTGTAGACGAAGACGCAGTTTACAGATGTGTTTCAACAGATCTGAGCCTCAGGCGTGTAAAGAAACATTTGTTGTGACTACTGACAATATTACTGACTATCTACCTAACCCACTGTATCCCCCCCAGGTATGCCAGCGTCCCACATCCTGTGCGGGATGACCACCGTCCGCATGGTGTCTTCTGGCCTCACCGACAACTCCATCACCCTCGCCATCTCCCAGATTACTGATTTGGAAGTGATGCCCACGCTCATGTGTGAACTGTCTCTGTGAGGTAAGGAAACAACTCTATCTATATATGGAGTGATCGTGTGTTTGTTTCCCTCATTGCAGGTGTTTCAGGGATGGATTTATTCTCTTTCCTCAAGGTTTGGCGTCTGGCACATTACAACGACCTCAGTTTGTGTGTGTGTGTGGTCGTCATGATAACTGATTACTCGTCTGTTTCATTATTTTGTATTGTTACTCTCCCTCTTGTCGTATATAGCATTATTGCACTTAGCCAATTTTTATTTTGATATCAATGGACGTTTCTTAAGTTAACATAATTCGTTTATACTTTAACTAACCTAATCTAACCTAAACCTAAACTAACATAATTTTAGCCTATCCTAACTTAAACTAACCTAACCTAACATAGCCAAATCTAACCTAAAATATCCTAACCTAACCCAGCCTATCCTATCCTATCCTAACTTAACCAAATCTATCTAATAACCTAACCTAACTTAGCTAATCACAGCCTAACTTAACCTATTCTTAATTGAAAACTGAACAAGTAAACATATTAATCCTATAACAATGGACACCAAACTAATAATTAATTTCCCAGGAAAGACTATTATTAATTTATAACAACAATAAATAGTACTGTAAATATTTTCTGCTTTAATTATCCGTCTCAGAGGCATTGTAACACCCACACAAAATAGAATAACAAACAACAACACAACAACAACACAACAACAACACAACAACACAACAACAATAACAACAACAACAACAACAAAATAAAAAACTAAACCCTCCATTTTACATCACAATAATTTACATACTTATTGAAATCCTACAATTACGTGTTAAATAATCATATACTTACTACATAAATAGGTATTATATAATCATATAATTTCTTATATAATTAGCAATAATCATCTATTAAGTATATCTAATTAATTCAGAAATATTTAAGTATTTTCATTACGTCAACAGACGGTTCAATCCAGCGATCAAATTAGGCAAATCCTTCAGGGAACACGGGGAAAAAACACGCGCCACCAAGACTCGTAATCCTCTTAGATCCTCCCTGATCCTACTCGCTCCTGTTTGTCTTTTCAGATCCACTCAGTGTTGACAAGGCTGTAGGTGAACCTGTCTCTGGCTCCACCTTCCCTGAGCTAATGTTTCTATTGTTTATATTTGTGATTAACAGAACAAAACGAAGGTGAATTAACAAGAGGATTAGAATGTTGTTTTGTTACCACGGCAGATAAGTTGTAATTATTTCTATAGTTCAGTTATAATGAATTAAATAACGATTGCGTTCTTGAAAGTAAATTAATAATGGCAGACAAATGCTTATAATACTTGAATGATGCCAATTATGCCAAGTAGTGTATTTCGTTGTACCATTAATACACTATACTGTATGTACTGGGTAATTAATGTAGTTTAAATGAAAATATCTTGGTTTAGCAAAAATCATGAAAATCTTTCGTTCACAGACATCATTAGTGAAGAAGAGCGTAACACTGAAACAAATCTCTATACCGTTGTCTTATTTACTGCCAGGTGCGTCTGGTAATTAACATGGTCTTACCTGGTTGTGAGGAAGACTTCATTTTACGGGTGAGATCATTATTACACGCCTCAATTAACTCTTACTCAATGGTAAGAAAACACTATACTGCAATTGACTGGATATATTAGGTAAACATCACTTCTTGTGGCTTAATTTAACACGTGATTATTTACCAGAAAGTAAATACTATTATACGGAAGACAAAATCAAGGGTTGGCAAGTCTGGTTGCCACATGTGGGTGGCACGGTGAAAAATATCACATGTATCACGCCTCAGTTATCATGTTGTTTTATTAGGAAGAAAACAGAAGCTTGTGAATGACAGGATAAAAATTGACAGGGTCTTGGTTCACGCGGGATAACAGAGACGATAACTTGTCAACACTAAAACTTAACACAAGCATGACCGAAACAGTGACTACTATTCCTGGTAGTCCCTATCGCCTGCAGTGGCATTCCTTTTACGGCAGGGCAAGACGGGTGTTAGTCAGGCAGCCACAATCAATAATTACATTTACACTTCATATAACTCATTTTGTCAAATTTTCACTTCATGAGGTAAACACCGGGTCTTAATGGTGTTTCGCTTCACCAATTAGTCTCGTGTGCTTAATGCCTCGTGATGTCTCCGGGATCCCAAAGCTCTGGCAGCTCACAACACGCACTGGAATTCAAGTAAAGTGAAATGCTAATGGGATCGAATACTATGCATGTCTGGGTAGCATTCTCTCTCACTCTCGATCTATTACACGTGAGGGTGTTCGAATCACTTGTGTATGAGAGATTTCCAATCACTTGCACACACGGAAATTCAATCATTTATATGGGGGGGGGTCCTTAAGCATTTACACGCGTAAGTTGTGTAGATGCATCACTTATGCACGTGGGATTTCTAAGTTCGTGTGTACAAAGGGGGATTCCAGTCATACACTGTGGCGGTTCCAATCACATGTATACAAATGAGAATTCTAATTACTTACATAAGCAGGGGTTCCAATTACTTGAACAAGCAAGGGTTTCAATAATTTATACATCTGGGGTTTCCAAGCATGTGCAAGCAGGGACTCAAATCACTTATACAAATGAGTGCTCCAATCTTATATACGTGGGTGTTACAATTCCATATGCAAGCAAGCAAGGGTTCCAATTACATACATGCGAGGGTTGGTTCCCATCACACACACACACACAAGAATTTCAAAGATTGTCCCACTAACACACACAGCTGAGAGCATCACTGTCACACAACGAAAGAAAAATAATTATATATTGTCAATTGTAAGACGTCACCAGATAGGACGTGTTTAAGACTCTTACCATCACCAGATTTGTGTTTTCGTATCGTAAGTGGATCAACCAACCAGACAACACTAAAAAGACGACGAACGCTACTAGACGAAAAGTAACGTTCATTAATAAAAACACCCTATGGTCTTTTAATGCTAAGATACATGAAATTCCTTATTTTCTTATTGTTCGTTCGGCTTTTGCTCATTACGTCCAGATGAATTGCAAAAGGAAAGAAAGCTATAGGGGATTTTCCTTGTTGACGATGTTATTTTGTTTTGTCTGGCACGTTGACTTATCGAGCGTTATTAATGAAGTTATATATATTTCTTTCGTTATAATTGTTATCATCTCTATAATTTGTATATTATTATTATTATTGACTCTAGAATACCTACAAGAGTGAGTGAGAGACGAACGAGACTCACAGTATTTACGTACAGAACATCATTAAATATAACTAAGCTATTCACCCTTTGTCCTGACGCTATACACTGATTGAGTTGATACGCCTTACCTGTGTTGACGAGATGCTCCCCCTTAGTACCTGATTGTCCTGACACCTTTATTCTCTTAATTATTTAATTACGTTCAGAAGTTCCATATTATAATTTAAGCTACAGAAATATAAAAACTATAGGTGTTGTTTGTATTGTTCAGGTTATATAAATTTGTGTTTATAATCAATGTGAATTCCTATAATGATTTTACTGAATGAATATCTATCTATCTCTTTATCTATTTATCTGTCTCCCCAGCAGGCAGCCCGGACCTTCCCTCCAGAGGCCCTCCTGAAGAAGACGCAACCACACCTACGGTCCCTCCCTCGGCCCTCACTCCACCTCCCTCCTCGGGCGACCTCCAGGACCCTGCAGCCCCGCCACAAGACTCAGGCAGCGCCCCGCCACGGCACATCCTCGGAGCCGCTACCACCACTACCACCACCACCACCCTGGCTGCAGCTTACTGACCAACGCCAACACCACCACCATCTCTTTTCATATATCAGTAACTCCCTGCACACGTTTTTTTCCTAATTTTTCTAGGTTTTCAGCATGGCAGATGACTAGGGCGTCTGGAGATCCATGTTCAGGATTTCTCTGCCAAGCAAGGCGCCTGATTGATCTGTTGCAAACGTCAACAAACAGTTAACGGACCACCACAGTAGCAGTTGTTTTGTGGTTATCTGCCGTTAACAGGCCGCAATATGACATGTTATTGCATCTGTCTACCGCAGTGTATGTTCATGTATATAACTGGGTGAAGATAATTAGTAAACATGATATTTTCTGACAATGTATCAATCACCAGGGTGGCAGGCCAGGCCAGGGTGCAGTAACTTCAACATGACTTAAACTGTATATAAAATTACTACTTAAAACTCAAAGATGTTTTCATTATCGCACAAACTAAGAAGCGAATTTTATTAATCCTGGGCAGTATAAACAAACACTTCAGAAGAAAGACGTAAAAAGGAAAGAAAAGGCCGATGGATGGTAATTTTTCAACACTTTAGGTAAGTCTATGCAGGAAGTACAGTTTTCTTTGGTAACTCTCACAGGATAAACTGCAAAATAATCTCATTGTCAGGGAACTTATGTATCATTCTTAATAAACATGTTAGTATACAAGGAAGAAAATGAACACGAGAGGAAGTAATCTGTTATGGGTTAATAAATAATTATCTCCAGTGTGATGCTTTAAGTGTGTCTTCTGTACGACACACTAACACGAGAGACTCATCATAACCTAACCTCCAAAAATGGAATTCAGATGGATTATATTTATGTGGTCGAGTTATTGTTTACAATAATAATTATGGCGAGAGAATTATAAAAAAATAACAATGTAAGTGGATTTACAATTAAAATTTATGTTTCAATGGACTATCACTTCACCTGAATTACTACTATTTGTGTAAACGTCTTCCTAATACACCCAATTATGTCATACACAAATATAAGACTGTAACATGTATGGTGGTGTTCTGTATAACATCAACACCGGCCTTGAGATATATAATAAATTACCAGGATTATTTCTTAAAACATCTTTGTAACGTAATAATCCATTCTATTGATCATTTATTACTAGTTCCATTAATGTAACTCTTAACTGGTCATTACAATGCCATTTTATAAGAGATGTGTTTTAATGCATCATTACCTTCACTGGACACCCACTACACCTGCCGGATATGTTGTTGCTTCAAGGGCATTTATAAGACTTGTCAGTGTTGAGTGAATGTTAGTCTATGATTTTCTGTTGTGGAGGTGTTGTGGAGGTGTTGTGGAGGTGTTGTGGAGGTGTTGTGGAGGTGTTGTAGGGATGTTGTGGAGGTGTTGTAGGGATGTTGTGGTGTTGTAGGGATGTTGTGAAGATGTTGTGGAGGTGTTGTAGGGATGTTGTGGAGGTGTTGTAGGGATGTTGTGGGAGGTGTTGTGGAGGTGTTGTAGGGATGTTGTGGAGGTGTTGTGGAGGTGTTGTGGAGGTGTTGTGGAGGTGTTGTGGAGGTGTTGTAGGGATGTTGTGGAGGTGTTGTGGAGGTGTTGTAGGGATGTTGTGGAGGTGTTGTGGAGGTGTTGTAGGGATGTTGTGGAGGTGTTGTAGGGATGTTGTGGAGGTGTTGTAGGGATGTTGTGGAGGTGTTGTGGAGGTGTTGTAGGGATGTTATGAAGATGTTGTGGAGGTGTTGTAAGGATGTTATGAAGATGTTGTGGAGGTGTCGTCAATAATGGCTGCCTAGAGAGTTGTTGAGGCGCAGTAATAACATAACAACAACAATGGCTGCCAGACAGTAGACGTGAAAGCAAAGATGGTAAGAGAAGTAGAGGAGAAACACGAGACAGGTCGATGTATGATAACTGGGAACATTTGACAATTTCTTGGGATAAGTGAGGGAAAAAAATACATATCCCAAACACATCTGAGGAAAGAAAGAAGAAATATATACAAAGGGTGAAAAATAATAACAATCTATAGGAAAATTAAAATGAAGACAAATTTAAAAAGGAAACGAAAATAAATAAAAATTAATGTGTTTTTATATAGAAATAATGAAGGTTTATATATAGAGCATAAACACAAGTTATACATCTGACAAGAATGCAAGAAAATATCAGAGAGAAAAGTATATTGTGGAAGATTATTAAAGTGTGTGTGAAGAATACCGGTGATTTAGGCTCGTATTACACAGCACAGGTGAGGGAGGAGGGAGGGTGTCACAGGTGAAGAGAGTAATTTAGAAGAGTGATGGTTAAGGAACTTCTACATCTGTGTGTGTGTGTGTGTGTGAGTGTGTGTGTGTGTGTGTGTGTGTGTGTGTGTGTGTGTGTGTGTGTGCGTGTGTGTGCGTGTGTGAGATGGGCGAAACACGTAAGGAATCATCTGAAAACCTTGTGAACATACCCCGCGCCCAATTATCTTTTATGTTTACAGCTTTTGGAGGGATAGGCTTACAGATTGCATAGGCCTATACACTGGCACGGCCGTAAATAACTCAGGCGATGACGACCAATAAATCAACTCAAGACAAGCCAAGCCAAGAACTTCACTCCTACCACCGGCTAACGAGAACAACAGAGAGGACCCGTACATATAAACCACATAACGAGTCAAAACAAACTTCTTACTTGATATTCTACCTTGAGGAGTAAATATTATCGTTGCTTAGCGTATGTTGTGAGAGAAAAGGATTAGCAATATATATTCAACCCCAGAGTAATTAATAACGTTGGTAAAGCTGCTTCAGTATAGTAAAAGGTAAGTTTATATTGATATTTAAATAATATATTACATCTTTGAAATAATAGATAATAATTGAATGTGGTATTAACCTTAGGAATGTACCCCCTCTGATGGGTGGATGGTAACGGAATATAGCTGCCTCGCCTTCACCTCCCAGGCTCCCTCAGCACATAGTATCCTAAGTTATAGTTAAAACACATTATATACTTAAAAATATAGTCACAATACAACTATAGTCACAATACAACTATAGTCACAACACAACACATATAACTAAACTGATCCCTCATCACTGACACAAAGAACCATCGCCTCAGCTGCCTCTTGAACTGTAAACCTTCATATGTTTACGTCACTTCACAAATGATCATAAGTCTCTGAAGAATAAAACCCAATAACTATCATCTACAGGAGTGTTCTAAGCTGGCCAGAAAAAGAGAAGAAAAACGAATCAACAAACACACTTCCTCAGGCTCAAGTACTGTGCATCGTCCTCTCGTTATCGTAACAAAACAGTCACTTAAGGTAAGGTTCTCGTCTTTATATTTTACAAGGAATACAGAATCTAGAGAAAGAGATTTGTCTCGTTGAAAATGATAAACTAGTCTGGCTGAGATGGATAGGGAAACATTACACAAGGGTCGAAAAAATGAAAGTGGTTTGTTAAGTGTGTTTTGATAAGAGTTGGGTCATGGGCAATTCTGCCTCAACGGATTGATATTGACAACTTGAAGAACTTCTGAAGTACAGGCTGGGGATATGAATATACATATAAAACTTTAAGTAAATTTTTTTTCTGTGTTTTGTGTTTAATATATACAATAAACTTTTAGTTGCTCCACAACCACCTGGAGGTTCAGCTGTATATGGGTTCCTAACTTTACAGCTGGGGAAGTTTAAGTGGTCAGGTACAGTGCTGGTAACATTGCCTCTATGACTACCAAACACATAGTAATGAGTGAGATGTATCCACAGTGTCCTTAACTGATAGTCAGGCCTATAAAACCCACTTACACACCTACTACTCGGTCCTGAAGACTCTGCCACTAAGCGTGTAAGTGAATGTTTGACAAATAGACAACCATTTTAAGCCATCAGTGACACGTAACACGGTTCTCGCTACTGGGAATAGAGTTGGTCCTAAAATACTCGAGTGTAGTGGACATGGCGCTAAGAAAATATCCCCCAAGTCAGCATTGTAAACTTCTAGATAAATATACCGTACTATTGTATACATATTATATTCTTTATTTCTTATTAAGACGTAGTTGATTATAACAAGTAGTACTAAACTACATCACACTCGTCTTAACATTCTTCTGGGGGTGAGTGACACACGAGGATAATTATTACACTAGTCTAACAACAATAAAAAAATATGAGATTGAACTCTGCTTAAATGTCCATATAATTCACTTTAGCAATGAATTTAAATACAATTTGTATTTATTTGGGTATTCTCAAGAAATATATTCCTAATATATAATTATCACAGCAGACAATAGTATAGTTTTGTTTACCGTATTATGACAATTATTTTAAGTGAAATAAGCCTGGGGAAAATATTCTCTGGACGACATAACGAGTGTGTGAGGACGGACATACCACAGCTACCTTGAGGAGGCGTTGTGGGGGGGGGGGGGGGTAACGCCGGCCTCCCAGAAGCGATCACATCCTCCGAAAATTGAATTTGATGCTTAATATAAAGGTCACTTCCCATCCACTCAGAGGGTAAATCCTTTTATGGGTATTTTCACACTATAAGAGAGGCTGAAGGTATCAAATCGTTTATAAGATGGACCAATGAACCATCATGTCTCTCTCACGATGATATATGGCCGTTGTTCACAGGTGACCTAGTTCCTGCACAACATTCTATATTCAAATACACTATAACGACACACACACACATCCCATCTATCACTCCACCTGACGTCTGACACCCTCCTGTAATTTCCCTTAAGAGTAGTGACGATATAAAACTCCTCCCAAACCCTCCATATAGCCTCACTCTCCTCTGTCATTCCACTCATTACCTTCTACCATTCCCCTCACTCCCCTCACAAGACCCGTCATTGATGTATTTCTCTTACTCTTTCCTCCTCCTCCTCCTCCCCTTTCCTGAGTGATGGTTGACTTAATACCTGAATAAGAAATGTTTACTCTTTACTCCTTTATTCTGTCTCTCTCTCTCTCTCTCTACCTGTGTATAAACTTAGTTTTATCAAGTGAGGTTGAATGAGAAACTTGTCATCCAAAGTTTCAGATGGAGAACGGATTTGTTTATGTCCCTCTTCTCTCTTGTTCCTCCCGCCCTCTCCCCTCCCTTACTACTTCTTCCTTATCCTCTTCACTTAATACATGCCTCCCTCCTTTTCCTCCTCCCCTTACTCCTCCTTTCCCATCCCCCCTTTCACCCTCCGACGTATGAGATTATAATTTCACCTTAACATCAGAGTCATAAATAATCTGTTGTCATTATTAATGTTACAGCACATGAGAAGTGTCACGGGAGCCAAGGCGAGGGTGACGCTGGAGGCTCATTAATAACATGGGGCAGGTAATAATATACAGGTATCGTTAGTTGGAAAAGAAAATGAAATTAGGATTAACAAAACATTTTAGCCAGTTGAAAGGCTATTTAAATAATAATCACCTGTCGGTTATATATCTGAATATTTTACTAGAAAGATAAGCGTCTTTTATAATGGTGAAACACTGGTTTGGTTGATAATAATAATAATAATAATAATAATAATAATAATAATAATAATAATAATAATAATAATAAAAATAATAATAGTAATAATAATAATAATAATAATAATAATAATAATAATAATAATAATACTGCTATTACTAATAATAATAATAGTTACGAGGAAATCAATTTAGTTTAGGCACGTAATGGCTAATGTCCATTTTCTTTGGGGTTGGATTAATTACACAGTATAGTATTTGGTTAATTATTATTATAAAAAATAGCATTAGGCTTTCAATAGTAACTTCATTTAAATGAATAGTATTCAGTTTATTATTCAGGTGTAGAAGCCGATATTAAAATTGGAATCAACATAAACTGGCCTGTGTGTGTAACTGTGAGGCGGTCAGCTGAGGTGGCTTGAGGTCGACTTG